CAGCAAGTCGGCCGGTAAGAGCTTGAACTTCTTTTACGGATGTGGGAGGTGATAGATCCATAATTGCCTTTATTTTTACTGGATTGGCTTCAATACCCCGTTGAGTGACGATATATCCCAAGAATTTTCCAGAACCGACTCCGAAAGTACATTTCTTTGGATTAAGCACCATTGAATATTCTCTAAGAATGTTGAACATTTCCTGTAAATGATCAATGTGGTCGGCTGCATGAACCGACTTGACTAACATGTCATCCACGTAAACTTCCATGGTATGCCCGATGAGTTTGGCAAACATTTTGTTAACTAGCCTTTGATATGTGGCCCCAGCATTTTTAAGACCGAACGGCATCATAGTATAACAATATAATCCTCGGGCTGAATAAAAAGAAGTATGTTCTGCCTCTTCAGGGTCCATAGGAATCTGATTGTAACCTGAATAGGCGTCCATGAAGCTCATTAATTCATGTCCAGCTGTGGCATCCACCATGTAATCGATATGTGGTAAAGGGTAACTGTCTTTAGGACAAGCTTTATTTAAGTCGGTAAAATCAATGCAAAGTCGCCATGCTCCAGAACTCTTTTTCACCAGAACAGGATTCGACACCCAAGTCGGGTATTTCGTCTCTTGAATGAACTTGTTATCAACCAATTTTTGAACCTCTTCTTCGAGAGCTTTCTGTCGATCAGGACCGAGTTTGCGTCGTTTTTGGACCACTGGTTTAATTGTTGGATCCAAGTTAAGTCGATGAGAAGCGACCTTTGGATCAATTCCTTTCATATCTTCATGTTTCCAAGCAAATACGTCAGAATTGGCTTTGAGGAATTGAATGAGCCGAGTTCGTATTGGTTCTTGAAGATTGGCCCCAATTTGTACCGACTTGTGACAAACTGGATCATCAATGAATATTACCTCAACCTCTTCTGATGGTTCGGCTCGTTCAAGTTTGCTTTTCTCCTTAAATTGGATTCGAGGATCAAGTACATCTTCTTCTTTAATTGGCTCTTTTCCCAGACGTCTCCCACGGTCACAAATCAAATCGTTGTTTGATTTCGCAGGATCAAGTTCCATCTCGGTATTGCATGATTCCGAGTTAATAAGTGTTGAATTTTCTCGACTTTCTTCGATATCCTCCATCATATGTACGGGCATACAGGGTTCATGCCAGGGTTTAACCCATACCATTCCGCGAGCTTCGTACTGGTCTCCATAATGAGTTCCTTCTCCATTATTAGTAGGAAATTTCAGAGCATAGTGAAATATTGATACAACTGCACGAAGCTTGTATAGAGCAGTCCGTCCAATGATGGCATTATATTGATTCTTGAGATCCATCACCTTGAATGTCTCCATTATAACTTTGGAAGCTTGTCCAGGGATTCCGAACCGAATTGGCATAGTGATTTCGCCGAGGGTTGTTGTTATGGTTCCATTAAAGCCTTGTACTTGATCCTTACAGGGTTTTAGCTCGGCTGGATCAATTCCCATTTGTTCAAATGTTCGTAACATCATGATACTTGAATATGCTCCGGTGTCCACCAACATACGATGTATCGGTATTCCACAGATGGGTGCCGTAATTATTAAGGGATCAGCATGAGGGTGAGCAAAATAACTTGCATCATCAACATTGAATGTGATCGGGCAATTGTTCCGAGCATTAATTTTATCTCGGAGGTCAGTAGTCAAAACTGTTTTACCCGAGTTAAAAGCTTTTCGAGCATATGCTTTCATTTGCCTTCGTGATTCCAACGTTGCATTGCTGCTATTGTTGACCCGAGGTACATGGTGTGAATTGTCAGGATTATAGTATCCCTCTCGATATATCATTTCAGCCGAATCTCTTTCTCTTTGATTCATCATGTATATTTCTTTTTCGTTTGCTCTCACCCGTTTTGGATTAATTGGACGTTCTTCATCGTCTTCATCGTCTGGTAAATCAGGCATTCTTCCTTTTCGTTTGTAATCAACATTCTTGGCAAATCTTTGGACTTGAGGATGTCCAATAAGTCGCAACAAAGCAGAAAGTAAACCGAGACATTCATCAGTATTATGGCCTGCCGACTTATGGTATGAACAATATCTCGTTTTATCAAGTTTTTCTTCGGGTGTTCTGACAGGTCGGGGATCAGGAAGAATTCCTTTCCCTTTTAATTCTTCAAATATTGTTGCTGCTCCTGCCGAGAATACCGTCTGGTAGCTGGATTTAACTTCATTAAGATATTTAGTTCTGGCTTCTTGCACTTCGGGGATTTTTGGATTCCCGAATCGAGACTTATTTGGCTTGAAAAATTTATTTTTCTTCTTTTTTGATTCTTGCCCGACTTCCGACTTTAACGAAGAAAAGTCAATATTAGGAACCGACATTGATTCTTCGGCCAAAATATGCTGTTGAGCCCGAGCTAGAAAGTCTTGAAATGAAGTCGGTTTATTTTGACATATACTCCATCGGAACAATGAGTTTGGCTTCAATCCGGCTATGGCTGTGACCAATAGCGTTTCGGGATGGCATTGCTCCATATTTTGTATGCGTTCGTTGAACCGAGTAATGTAATCTTTCACGCTTTCATCATCTTTTTGTACAATATTTGCGATTGACTCTTTGGGAATTAAAGATACTCGGGCCCCGATAAAATGAGAGCGAAAAGCCGTTCTCAACTGCTGCCATGTGGAGATTGAATACCGAGATAGAGAATGATACCATTTTTGAGCTCGTGGTCCCAGAGTTAAGGAAAACATCCGACATCTGAGTGCTTCATTCGCTCCATGAAGATCCATCCAAGATGTGTACTGACCAAGATGAGCATCAGGATCGGAAGTTCCATCATATAAGCCGATTTGCGGAACTTTCACTTTAGTCGGGATAGGCTCTCTAGTTAAATGAGGGGCTAAAGGAGTTCCAACCTCTTGATACGTCTCTTCTATCATTGGAGTTCGTCGTGGTGGTCCTCCATGTTCGTCTTGGCAAGTCTCCAGCTCAGCAATTCTTTTTCTCAACATTTCTAACTCTTCTGATTCGCGTCTTTGACGATTCCTTTCAATTAAACGACGTAACTCATTCTGCCCACGACGAGCATGGGTTTGTTCAAGAGTATGTCGTAAATCAGAAGGTTGATCATGTCGTGATAGTTCTGGTAACGACGGAGTAGGCTGTCGTGGTCGATGTCCAGAATGGCTTTCTGCAGTTGCTTCTGATCGCGCTGGTTCTGGAACTCGAGTTTGTACCGGAACTACCCCACGATTTTGAGTTGTTGCATCATGTTGTGATTCATGTGTACGTGGATGGGAAGTTGCATGTGATGTTGCAGGAATATTATTTCTTCGTGGAATTGGAGTTGAGCGAGTTTGAGGATTAGCCGCTGTGGTTGATTCTATTCTTGTTCGTGCCATAAAATCAGTTAAATTTTTCAAGAACTCTGGATCTTGAAATAGAGCTGAATAATCAATTGATGTAGATGGCACGGCAGAAGTTCCAGTTGTGTGAGTTGGGTAACGATTGATCCCAGGGTCAGGATTTCGTTCATTTCGTCCAGAATTCGACATCCTTTGCGTATTGTTTTACAAGACAAACAATTGAAAAGGGAAAGCTGCCGCCCTTCCTCTAGCGCCAAACTGTTGCTGTCTTGAATTAACAACTAAAAATTAAACACCGTTGATGTCAAGAAAATGAAGATAACGGCTTAATTAGATTTTATTGCTTGAGTTCACAAGAGTACAGAAGTCGGTTTTAAGCTGAAAACCGAGTTTGTCTTAAGTTCGTGTACAATGTGATCGAAAAAAGATCCTCGTACTATCATAAATTCTGCTATTTATAGTACGGTGGCTTTTGTCTTTTTCCTCGAAATGGATAGAGATGCATTTAATATTGAGCTGCTTTGTTTGAGGCGGCGGGAAACATCCATGATTGCCTTTTTGTTTCGTTGGTCCAATCAGATGCTTCTAATGATTACTTTCTGTTTGGAATGCTCAAACTTTACGGTAGTCGGTTGACTTGAAGTCGGTTTACTTATGTTGGTTTCGGATGTCGGCTTGGATCTTTCGGAAATCGGTAATTCTTAAAGAATCGGTAATTTGCTCCAATATATTCCGACTTTCAGTACTTTCTGATTACTGGATTTGATATCAACAGTGTCAACTGATTACTGGATTTGATATCAACATTTCTCTTGCAAGTAAACAAACAATGGTCATGGACTCATGGTTAACAAACTACTAATTATTAGGATAAGTTAATAAATATAATGAACACAATTTTTCTGTATAGTAATTGTACTCCAGCAGGATGTCATTTTTGAAATGGTTGATTATAGATTTTGGTTGAGAACTGTACTCTAACTTTACTCTTGCAGGATGTACTAATTAAAACAAACTGATAGGAGACTAATGTTTGAATGTACATTTTGACTTGAATGATTTTGAAATGCAGTGAAGTCGGCAAACTTAAAAAAAAAAATCAAACATAGCAATTTTAAAATAAATATTGCCGTGACAATGTTTATTTTAGATGAAAAAAATCCCGTGAAGAAATATTTGATGACATCAGCAATTTATCAAATTTGTGATATTTAAGCCCAATTTTTTAATTTATTCGGCCCATTGGATTTAATTGTGAAATTATTTTATACTATGAAATTGGGCTTATTTAGTGGTCCATATAAAAAAACAAGAGAAAATTACCCTCCCTACGTGTCAAACTTTCTTGTGCACTTATTATACGAATTATAAAACACTATATTTTTTATACGACCGACAATTACAATTTAATGAGACATTGAAGTTTTGAAGGCAATAAAACGGGATTGGCTATTTTTGGATACAGATTTCAATTGTTCATTTACATGGAAAGAAGTCCTTCGGCGTGATCTCTGGCTCAAATTGCAATTGGTAAGATAATAGGTAATTTTCGAATTCACGCATCACAATATTTCTTCTCTCAAAAATCATGTATGAGAGAAATATGAGATCTGAAGCTTGTACTCATGTTCGAAATTGAAAATTGATGGCTAAAACAAGTGTGAATTCATATGTTTCAAACACACCATCTGATTTTGAATGTGATTGTGCTCAGAATCGTAAGAAATCAGATGGTGTCCACGAAAAAAGGGAAGGTAAATGCAAACTTGTGCAGAAAAAAGTGTGCCGATGTACAGAACAAGTTGAAGGCAAAGGGTAAGGAAAAAGGTCTTAATTTCCAGTTGTGGAGACGATGAGAGTGTTTCTGATTTCGAGAAGGAACAAGAAATTTCGACTGATGACTATGAGCTGCATGGTGCCTCAAAAGGGAATAATCCAGGTTCTTTTGATAATATTTATAAAAAAACGTAAGAGGTGTATTTCAAATGCAAATATTGGGCGTGTTCAAAACAAGATCATAAAGCATACTCATCGGAAACCTTATGATGATCCACAGGGAAGAAACTTTAAAAACGCATGTAAGGTTAGTTTATCAATAAATTTTTGTGAAATATAAATTATTGATACTGGTGGTTATTTTATCTCCCTCTTTTTGTTATATCTAATTAGCTCAATTGAATGTATCATGCATAATTTGTGGTTGTTATTGGTGTTGTTTGGTTGGAGAAATGTTGATTTGGTCTGATAGGGCTTGATAAGAAATGGATAAGCAGGTCATGTATAAGTATATTTGTATTTGTGTTCTCACTGCAAAATGATTAACTAGCTCTTGCGTATGTACTAGGTCAATATGTAGTTTCAGACTGGGGTTATGGGTTTTATCTGTTCGGAATATGTATGATGAGAGTTATGTTTTGATATCGAAAGTTTTCTTGTGTGTAGTGGCAGTATATTATTTCACAATTGAATCGTGTCGAGTTTATCAATTGAGGAAAAAATTTCCACTCCAAGTCTTGTTATATATTGTATTTAGTGCCTGGTGCAATATGCCATATCGAGTACTCTTAATACGGTGAATCTATCAAGATTGTTGTCTAAGTTACTTTGGGTATTTTTTAACTCATCTTTCATAGGCCTTAACTGGGGTGGGAAGAATTTATCTGAAGTACCATTGGTGGTCTCAGTTAAGCTCAATGAACTACCATCTCCTTTTGTAAACTTTATGATATATTTTGGCATGGTATATGTGAGGTCTCATTTATAGACAATTGCTTTTGTGCAAAATCATACTTATATATTTGTTTGGCGGGCCAAACAACTACATTTTATTCATAGTTATGCAAAGATGTGTAGTTGTAACTGTATAAAAAGGTGTTACTTGATCAAGACCCCATATAGAAACACTTAGTTCTTAATAGCTTTTATTGTTATTATTTTTGTATTTTTCTTTTTGTATCATTCTGCAAATTATGTGATTTTCAACATATTGTAACAACTTCATTATAAAAAAATCTTCCTCTACTTAAAGTAAAATGAAGGTATTAAAGTATGGTCTTGATAAAGTTTGTGATGTTGTACCGAGAGAGAATGAAAAGTACGTTACTAATGCATCAGCGCTTTTTTTCCATTCCCAGAAAAAAGCTAAGCGTACAAAGACGGAAAATCTTATGCATTGCATCGACGCTTTTGTTACACTACTTTGATCCCTATCTTCCTCGGTTTAGTGAATTTCGTTGCCAGAAGAACTGATATAAATTCTAATGATGGTGCATGCATGGGCAAGGGTACTAATAATCCTTTAGACGTGCTTATCGTGCATCATATCCCATAACATCTGTCTCGGTAATGCTTGTTATGAATTATATATTTTTTTTTGTCTCATTTTTAATGTAATTTCATAATGTTTTATACAATGAATAACTCTTGTTAATTTTTTTTATCATGTCAGCGATTTTGTTGCCTCTTATTCGGAGTATTTCATTTCACCTTGACGTCGACAGATATGATGTTGACGTGGAAAGGGTTCGGTACGCTTACATACTGTACAATCATGGCGGGTTGAAACAGTCATGGGCAAGGGTTGATCCCTATCTTCCTCGGTTTAGTGAATTTCGTTGCCAGAAGAACTGATATAAATTCTAATGATGGTGCATGCATGGGCAAGGGTACTAATAATCCTTTAGACGTGCTTATCGTGCATCATATCCCATAACATCTGTCTCGGTAATGCTTGTTATTAATTATATTTTTTTTTTGTCTCATTTTTAGTGTAATTTCATAATGTTTTATACAATGAATAACTCTTGTTAATTTTTTTATCATGTCAGCGATTTTGTTGCCTCTTATTCGGAGTATTTCATTTCACCTTGACGTCGACAGATATGATGTTGACGTGGAAAGGGTTCGGTACACTTACATATTGAACAATCATGGCGGGTTGAAACAGTCACAACGGTTTGAAGATGAATTCCCTGGGGTGTTATCGGTTGAGGATCGCAATTCGCTACTAATTACTTAGTATTATTCGTATTAGATAGGATTTTTTTAACTGGATTTCGCATTTCGCTTCATGCACTCTTTCATATTACTAGTACTATGTTGATGCCATTGGAGCAATGTTTTGATTTTTATCATGAATATGTACTCTCTATTGTCATTTTATTAATGATGGATTTTATTATATTTTAGTTGTTTATATGCAGTTTTTAGCTGTGTCAATTAGTTGATAATCACATGCTTCTATAATGTTTGTATGTATTGAGTTTTTTTTTTTTTTTCCAATTTTAGTAAAATACATATAGTATATAAAGTGTTTATATACTGTTGATGCAGTTTATCATGTATTATATCAATATCTATACAAGCTTTATATGTGGTTTATATTTGGTTTACGTAAGTCCAGATAATCTATAGCTTGTTGTTTATCTTATCAATATATATGGTTTATGTTAGGATATTCATATACATAAATTAACCAACAAAGTTTACTCTTTGTATATAATTTGCTTATTAATTTTTTTACCATGAACTATAGTGAATCTATTATATGTATATATAAGTTGTTTATACTATGTTCATATATAGTTTATGTTACGATAGTAAAATCTTTACATATTGGTCAATTTATATGCAAAGTATATATACTATTAATAAATTTGGCAGTATATGCCTTATATAAATTTAATACAATTAAAACATTTGTTATTTGATAAAATTATTTAGTTTGGATATTTACATGTTGATTTAGCATTAAAAAATTGCGATTTGAATCTTTTTCCATCTGTCTCACATTTATATATATACCTATAAATACATATAATATACTTTAAATAAACTCTTATTTTGTTTTCTACTTGGAAGGGTAATCTAACATAAACATCAAATATAATAATATTTGTCAAACCTGTGATGTTGAAGAGATTCGTTTCTATTTGGTAGTTTTTGCTTATTAAATTAGGTAAGAATATTAGTTACATATTGAATTGCAAGCATTAGGGGCAGAGAGACACACTCACAAGTATTAATTTGGTATTTAAAACTCTCTCGTATAAACTTTATTTCTGTCTCTAAGGCTCGTAGTAGTGTATTTTTGCCAAAAAACAAAGTCCTAATAATAATTCTCAATTGTACGTACAATAATAAACGTTTGTGTATTTATTTTACCTCATTTGTGTAATAATCTATTTTTAATTTTTATACTGATTGATTATATATTATAATTTTTTTTTATTTAACAATGATCTATGTTCTAAATATTCAATTTTTACAGGATTTTGTAGACCATCTCTTATCAGTGGAGTATCATTTATTCCTCAAGAAAACAACAATCATTTGGGCAAGGTTTCATATCAATATAGAAATGTGTTGCATACTTCTCAAAGTGTACCATTATCGGACATCACCAATGGTAAACTTTCTTGAAAAATATATTTGAACTTAATTAATTAATATATTTACATGAATATATTTAATTAAAATTTTTTCTTATGTAGTATTCGAAACAGGGCTATACTTGCCGACACTGGGGTCGTAGAATCTGTAAATGCATACATGTCGTTGAATTTGACTGAAGGACGCACGTACTTAAGCACTGACAATACGTGTAAATCTGACTCCAATACCGACTTTTTATAGAACTCATGCGTCTGAGTTCTTGAATATTATCAAGTGTTTTGGAACACCAAATCATGAATTAAATTTGAAGGTAGGAACTCCAGTGATATTGTTGCAGAACATGGATCACTCAATGAGACTGTGTAATGGAACACGATTGGTTGTGACCAAGCTCTTCAATTATGTTCTCAGTGTAAAATTCTTACTAGCGAGTGGTGACCATGCAGGTGATAAAGTTTGATACCTTAGATGACCATAACTCCTTCTGATATTAGAGTGCCATTTTAATTCCCAAGAAGACAGTTCTCCATTATGGTTTCTTACGCAATGACTACAAACAATAGCTAGGATCAATCCTTATCCCATATTGGCTTATTATTGATGAAACTATTTCTTAGTCATGACCAGTTATATGTCATTGTCTCCCGTGTTACAACAGAATGGGTCTGAAATTTTTCATTTGTGGAGAATAAGGTTTGACAGAAAATCAATTCAGGAATGTTGTGTTAGAGAAATGTTTATGAATATATGATTTTTTTATACTTGGTATTTCTCATTTTTTTTTTCCATTATAACTAAATGATTAATTTTTAAGAAAAAATATTTAAAATAGAGTTTAAGAAAAAAGCTTTGAGGAATAAACCGACCGTGCAGCGCATGAGGAGTACACAAGTAAAAAAAAAAGTACAGTGATAATATTGAAGAAAAAAAAATGGAATGAAATAATATTAATTGACTTATAGAAGTAAATTATTTAATATGAAGTAACAAACATGCCAATTGACATGGAACACAAATCTAATTATATATCATATCAATCGAAAGCATAAAATTGTGACAAATAGAACTATATATCAATCCTAAGTAGGTAATAACACGGCTGTCTTCCTTGGATAGTGATGTAGGGAAGCGTACGAGTGAGAAGGATAAACGAGATACTCTCTCGATAACACCAATCAAATCTTATTTCATTCAAAAACAACCAAGGAAAATAAACTAGAGTGAGTCCTTTATATAAGGCTCCTAACCCTTGACCTTAACTTGTCCAACAAGACAAGATCTCTTACCAAATATTAAAAACTAATATTAAATTCTTAACTTATTCTTCAACACCAATGAAATAATAATAATAATAATAATAATAATTATTATTATTATTATTATAATAATAATAATAATAGATACTAAACTACACCATTCTTCCCCGGTTCGGAAGGCTTCGCCTTGCAAGCCGATGCGCTCCCGTGGCTAGCGTGGTATCCAACTCATGGTAGGAAACCCCTATCATTTCCCCCGGTCGAACACGAAGGTTGAATGTCGCTCAACTTCACATAACAAATGGAGGATCAAATCCTTAGTGTAACGCCCCACTTTATTTTGAAATATTTATCGAATTTATTTATAAAATCATAATAAATTTTTGGCAAATCTCGAATTAAATTTAAAACTCAGTGGGCGATACTTAACTACCAAGAACTTTTAATCGAAAATACAGACACATCAGATAAAATTGGTACATGCAAGATTACTAATTATCAAACTTCACTTACATCCAATAAGTTCCAAAATCATAAAGCAATTCACAACCCAAGGTTCAAAGGACGTAATAAAAAAATATTCCAATTCAACATAAGTTCATAAAAGCGGAAGCAATAATAATCATAGGTAAAATAATTTAGACCACCACTCACTCTGCCTCGTCACCCGCGAACTGCTTAACCTGCATCCGTGAAGAGCAGGTGGGAGTGAGTACAGTTGGAAAATATTGTACTCACACTATGCATATGAAACCACTGAGAATATTATATGGTCGCAGCATGAACATAAACAATAAACATCATGTCTCATCTCTAGTCACATCAATGACTCTAGTCTCAGCAAAGACTCACTCATGTGCACATCTACGCTCATCAAAGCTAAGCCATGCCATATCAATGAAACATGGGAGTGCGTGCCACATCAATGGCACGACCTTCTCATAGGTCTTAATGAGATTTACCTCGTAAGGGTAACCGTATTTCGTATACGGGGACAACCGTACCGATGGCCATCAAGCTCACATCAATAGGCTACATGCTCACATGCATACATAGATCATACGGGTTAAACATATTTAAAACACACATATGCACAGGTATTTTAGAATAACTAACCCACCTGGATTCTGGATTGATAATAACTCAAACCAATGGAAGTAGGTCGAGGCTGGACTCCTCAATTACCTACATCAAGTCAAGATGCTACAATTAACATCTATCTTGACTTTAAACGGAAAACACAAATCATACTTAGCCGAACTTGATTCGACTAAGTTGTTCGTGAAGTCCTGTGGACATTGGAATACTTAGACTTGGTTCTAAGACTCAACCAAATACACATGGGGGTTCACAATAATCTCAATCAAAGATTTACCAAGTCAAACAAACAAGAATAGCATACGAGTCGGTTTACAGTTTTTAATCCCAAAAACTATATTTTTGAAATAAAAGCCGATAAATCACATAATCAGGTTGTTCAGGTTACCGAATGAGTTAGGCTCTGAAATTTTAACCAAAACTCAACCTCACTGGACTTAGTAAAATCGCCAAATTTCAGCCCTTAACTCAAAACACATGATTTAATAAAATTCAAACAATTTTGCATCAAAGACGAGCACAAATCTAAAAACTGACATAATGAACGATTTATCCTCTGAAACTTTTATGCAATAAACCTCAACATATGCATATCAACATATAAAAATTTCAGCCTTAAACCTTTAACATGCAAATTTTAAAAATTCTAACGAGAATCTGCAGCTTTCAAATTTTCAACAAAACTGAATCAATATGAACTCCAAAAATTCTGATATTTTTAAAGAATGAAACAAATCATAAAATCAACCAAAAATCAGAATTTTTCAGCAACATATCAGATTATCATAATTAAAACAATTTTCGGCAGAATCACACAATAAACTATTTACCTTAGCAAACTGAGTCCAAAAATTCTAAAACTTTTACACGACATGTGAATATGCTAGAGACACAACATATTCAAATTTCAATCAATTTAAAGCACTACACAATTTAATATGCAAAAGACACGATTCTACCCAGAAATCATATTAATTAATTAAAATAGCTACATGCCATGAAAAATTATGAAATTTTTACACGAGCTTTACATTCATCAGAGGACATAGCATATAAAATTTC